ACGGAATACTAAACTTTGCTCAAATTTTATATAAATTTGAGTTCGTGCAGCTTGATTTGTTGTGAAAAAGCGGCCTAAAGGGCAGATGATCCACATTCGTACCAAGTCATGATTTTTGGGAAAGCTCTCCTTTGCTCGCCTGATTAAGAGGGACGGAATTTTATAAAAAATTTACAACTTGATATGCTGTGTGAAGGTATCATGTTGCGTCAATAATAGTTATTGGGATTTAAATTTGCTTGGTTTTTTTTCTTTTATTTGAAAGTAGAGTGTTAGTTCCAATAGTATTTCAAGAATTTTATAATGCTCCTTATAATCCTGGTAGTGTTTGGTGATGTTTCAATTAATACCCTAATTGATTAATACCTAATTGAAGAACATTACGAGATTCCTGAAATTCAATTTGAACTTAAACCAAAATGTTGGAGATTCTGAAATAACTACAAATCGCCCGCCAAATAATGCAAAAGTAAAGAAATGTTCTGTTTGATCGATCRAAGTGTGAATTCGAGACGGTTTGTTGCGCCCACAGAATAAGCGATWTGTGGAACTRCCAATGTTTACCACAAAATATCCCCCCTGGGGGTGTGTTCTGTGAGGTTTACGTAACCCGACATAACCTAGTMAAATTTTATCTTTTTTGATAAAGACAACAGTTTGTTTTATATTCAAAAAAWKTRATAGGCAMACCTGAGTTAYTGGAAAATTTTGTAAATTTTTGGAAACTAGAATGATCCCATTAAAATATGGGCGCCATTCAACACAACTTGCTCGCCAAACAATGTCTTACCTGGTAACAAGGAGTTTAGTAACGAAGTCAAAAGAAGAAACTGTTTGTAGAAAAGCTGTGAATGAAGCTGAAAAAATCGTGGGATATCCCACCTCGTTCTTGAGCCTTCGATGGCTCCTAAATGATGAGGCTGCCAATGTTGCTAATCATATTCGAAAACTGATTGGCACCAATCATCCTCTACTCACCACTGCCAGGTGAATAACTAAACACTCAAAACCTAATTTTTCAAACGCACTAGACACCGATCGGTTGCACTAACTATGAACAACCTGCCCCTTAAAGCTTCCCAGCTGAGGAGCAAGGAAAATAACGCTTCATCACTCACACTGTATCCGCTGCTTTGAATAATTTACGCTAAACTTACGAATTATTCTTAAAATTATGGGTGTTGATTTTAGGGATTTAATCATTGGTGATCGAACACCAACCTGGGGTCTGATAGTGTTATTAATTTCCAAAGCCGGAGGTTTAGGCAAGCATTTCTCCGAGATGGACAAGGATGTTACAGCAGGTACTAAGTACAACAGTAAAAAGTAGTGAAAATCACCACATTTGAGATTGAGAAATGTTCACCTAAACTGCTGCCCATTTGAACGCCCTATTAAGTATACAGGGTGAGTTTTTTCGATGACTAGGACAAGGATCTTCGAAATTATAGCCGTTACGAAAAAGGTTCAATGGACAAAGAATTGTCTTTAGTTTTGAATGCTCTACTCAAAACCAATTTAATGTTTCTAAAATTTGACAGCTGTCAAGAGATATTTGGGAAAAACTTATTTATGGTGAATTTTTAAATTACTCCTAGTTCCGTTGATACTAATTGCACAGGAAAACATTAATTAGAAAACTTGTAGGAAATTGAATTTCAAACAAAATGGCATAAGACATTTCTCCAAAATCACTGTCATTTTTGACATATGACACCAATTTGAGTTTTTTTAAATGGCAACCTATACTTGATTATTGCTTTACAGATAGAGCATTTTATTACGATTTCTGTGATATATCACATCGTTAGGATTTTTTCGAAAATAAAGTGTCTGCGAACAATTTATACTTTTTGAATTTAGTTGATCGAAATTAGCCATGGAAAATAGTATAAGACAGCATTGTTTCCATAGTAACAAATAATAACATTATGCTTGAGTATTTATTTTGACAACTACTTATTATTTTAATTAAGACGGCTGCTCATTTAAAGTGTTTATTATAAAAATCAAATCATACCAATAATAATTAAGATTTAACTCTAGAAAATTTAATTTTTATTGTAAAACATTTTCAAAACCCAAGGGGAGAAAGACCGATTGGGTCGAAAGCTTTTTTCTATAGGAAATGTTTGGTGTTGTATGGATTATTTATGTAAACACCAAACCCCGCAGAATTCGAGGTTATGAGAACATGTTGACATTTCGAAAGTACGTTGCGCAGTCAACGAATCTTGTTGAATTTACAGTTTATCCTCGTCTATCTTATGGTCACTCTGTATAATTCCATGGTTACCGGAGTTTTTAATAATTACGAAGCAACAGGTATTTGCGCAATGTTAATTAGACAGATTACCTTGAAAAACATTGCTGCCGTATTTCTGATATAGTTTGTTGGAAATTTCTCAGTTTCTAATAACAATTAATTTCTTTTACTATTTTTTTTTTCTTTTTCTTTTACTATTTTGGCGTCATTCCTCTGGAGGTGTTGTCTGGCGCTGTTATAGGAGTACAGAAAATACCCTCCCTCGGTATTTATTTGGTGCTTGGGAAAGTGTCAGTTATTGTGCTCTGAGTGCCCCTGGAAGGCCCTGATTCGATTATGTCCTATACTTGTTCCTCTGTGTCAGGAACTCAAAAAT